CTATCATACATCAGAAAAGGGTGACAAGACCATAAAAGGTCACATACCACACCCTCATCTGGGTTTTCCAGATTGATATTTGGATGAATCCACCCAGTTCGTATTGCCTACACAAAAAGAAAATTACATGTCAAGAACTACACCTGAAAGCAAACAATTAAAAAAATCAGCTAAGGCATAATTTTGCAAGTTGTATTTGGTCTTTACATACAAGACTTGAAAAATATATAGTTCTTCCAAGGTAAAAACAACACATAACTTACCTGTACTGCTGCAACAGCCTCTACAGCACCAGCTGCTCCTAGCAGGTGACCAATCATGGATTTTGTAGAGTTCACTCTCAACTGTAAACAGTAGGAGGTTACCAAACATGGCAATACATGATATTAAGAAAACAGATAATAAATGTTATGCAAAGTGGGTTACCTCAGGATTCTGGCCAAAACAATGAATAAGAGCATTATATTCTTTGAGGTCTCCGGCCGGTGTGGATGTAGCATGAGCGTTGATGTAATTAACATCTTCCCTAGACACCCCAGACTGAGCTAATGCCTTTTCTATGCAGAGAATAACACCAGCACCTGTTTCAGACGACATTAATAACATATTCAGATTCTAGAATGTGATAAGATTCAATGAAACAAGTGCAAGGTGACTCAGGAGCCATAAGGATACTTTCAAATATCTTGAAATCAATATAGAAAATCACTTAGCAAAAAAGGATAAACAAAGACATGCTATGAAGACATTCATATGAATATTTGCATTTAAATTTCTTAAATATTGAAATTTCTTTAGTGTAAATGCAGTACAAAAGAAAGAAACTAATAAATCAACAGAAACAGCTTAAAAGAAAATTTTCTTGCTACCTTGGCTCAACAAAACAATGAGAGAACGATATTGTCAAAGGCGAAGCATATTACCATCAGGGTGTGGCTCAGTCATGTGGTAAGCATCACATGTGAAGCTTCCACCAAGGAATTCTGCATAGATAGTTGCACCTCTTTTCTACAAAAATAAAAACTAATTGGTGATTAAATGCTCTAAAGTAGCATCTATACACAAACATCATATCACATAGTAAGATAGAAATGCAGAATTAGAAAATGGGCTCATGCAACTTCAGAGGTAGCAGCAAGCAAAGTTGACTACAAGTCACCCAATGTAACCCAAGAGAAGTAACAACAGAAAGCATGAGATGGATTAACTTGAGGGAACTACAGGATACAGAATTGCTACAGAATGTGGTTTAAAGTACCTGATGACCTACAACCTTACAGAAGATGTGATCCTACATAGAACATAGAAGAGAAAAAGCAAACTGCGAGAAACACCCAAGTGCTATTACCACGGTCATAGATATAGAGTTTAAAATACCTTAGCATGTTCTAACTCTTCTAGAAGCAAAACGCCAGCTCCTTCCCCCATAACAAAGCCATCGCGATTCTGACCAATAACCAAAAACCAGATATTGTGAGAAACAACACTAATGTAAGTCTACAAGTAAGTAAGAAACCCAGAATACAGATTACAGGATTTGCTTTCAGAATGATGTCACTTTATACCTGTTAAACATTTCTACAGTAAATACACTCAAATCTTGAGCTCAATACACATTTCTAGAACTAAAATTACATTGGCATGCTTTATGTGAACATACCATTTCTTGTTCTTGACAAAAAAATTTAAAAGTTTCAGCACACAACCAATTAGGATGGGAAAAAGAACAAATGAAATTAGCATGGTTATTGATAACATTACAATATCCCAAGGGCGTGATGCTTTCGTTGGATCACTGTTTCTTTGTGAAAGTGCTCTGCATGCCACAAAGCCTCCCAATCCTGGAGTGATAACATAAGAGCAACAATATCATGAAAACGTCGTGCAAATCTCAGTAAAAATAAGACAGAAATGATATAGTTAAGGGATGGGAGAGTTACCAATAGGTATCATCACTGAGTCTGAACCACCGCAGAGCATAATATCCTGCATATAATTTCAAAGAAAATTGCAATAAAATCATAATGGCATATTTAAGGATGGTTAGTCAGTATATCCTCTTTTCTATTCAACTTTACCACTGATTCACTTCACGTTTTCTTAACATTATAAAAAAAAATTCCATAATAAGATTTGTAGACCACTTACAGCTTCGCCTCTAATGATATGATTTGCCGAATTCAAGATACAGAAGTTGCTCGTAGCACAAGCAGTAGAAATAGAATAATTTGGGCCCATCCAACCCTGCAATTTCATGAGTAAAGCAGTTAAAAGGACAAGTACAAAATTCCAGCAGTCATTATGGCGTGTAAAAGTATTGCAAACACTAAATATAAGCTCACCAGATCCATTGCTAGCATGGCAGAACCCATGTTTGTAGTTGCAAAAGGTACGCAGAACGGATTCATCTTCTTATATGAAACCCGTAAAGCTTCAATTGCATCATTGAACACCTGATCAATGTCAAAATACCAAACGAAGTCGTCAGTCGAGATATTTACTGCAGCAATGAAGAACACATAAGATTCCTTGTCCCAGCTACGGATTTTTTGGCTCAATGTGGTAATATCTAGCTTGAATTTCCATATTTTGTGAAAAGATTCGATCAACTTTACATGACATTTCAGTATGGGAGAGAAATAGTGATACACTGTCTTACATAAATAATTAAATAATATAATCAAGTCCAGTTCTGAAATAAAAGGAAGTAGTTTCGGAGCACCAAAAAAAGATGTGACATAACCTTACAGACTCTAAACTAGGCTTGTTGAAGAACATAAATTGAAGATATATCAGTAGAAGCTCTTGCAAGCCAATTTTTCGTACATAATGTTAAACCACAGAGCACTGAGGTTACCTTCATGCCACCCATTGCTGAACCAATCAAAACTCCACATTTAGCTTTGTCAATTTGTTCCATGACATCTTCTGTAATTCCACCATCTGCCAAGGCTTTCTTCCCAGCAGTAAGCATGTAAAGCATGAATTTATCCATTCGTCTGGAAAACTTTGGTGCTACCCATCCGTCAGTTGAGAAAGACTTGATCTCCCCACCAATCCTCTAAAGAAAAGAAAAGGTACTAAGAACATAATATAGAGAATACAACAATTGAAGGGAGGTTTAGTAAATTGTTTACCGTTGGAAATTGGGTACAATCAAAAGCTTCTATCTCACTAATGCCACTAACTCCCTCCAGCAAATTGTTGTAGAAGACATCAGAATCATGACCAAGTGGGCTCACCACACTCATTCCTGTTACAACCACTCGCCTCTGTCTTGTTGTAGGTTTCTTCTGTTTTGTTCTTTCTTCAGTAGGTTGCACAGCTACAGCCATGGTTTCCCCTATATTTCCAACAATAACAGTAATATAGAAATGAACAGAGATGATCGGCATATCAGACGGTATATAGTCACTAAATTACTACCTATCATTTTATACCATTTGAATCTTAGGAAAGCTTTAGTTAGAGTCCTCAAAGGTTTATTAGGTAGCAGACGATTAGTCCCTCTTCTCTTTCCTCGTTCAAGATATAGCAACTTCTTGGCTAATGAGACATTTTTACTCTTCTCTACATTTAAATGCCATTTCCTGGCTAGTGTAATCATTCATCAATCAACAGTTGGGCATTGCAGATGCTTTGAGTCAATTAGTTCCATTAGAACCATTTTACTATTAACCCAATTGTTTATCTTATGGCCTGTGTAAACCCACTTTTATTACAAAAGAAAAGAAGACAAGCATAACATGAAAACTTTTTCTCCTCTTTCCAACAGCATAACCAACTTCAAATAAACAAACTGCAGTGTAAGGATAAACTAAGCCTATTAGCTTTGTAATGAAAAAAATAAAGGAACTTTTTTACACACAACACAAACTAGCTTTTTAAAATTCCAAACTACATATTTAAAAAAAAAAAATCAATCAATTAAATCCAACTTCAGATATAAACGTTCAAGGACGTAAGCGAAACAAGAAGTTATACCCAAAGCAATTGCAGTGCGTAAACACCCCCTACCCAAAAAACAAACACGCACGCACACACAAAATACATTGAATTGCTTCCAAGATTCTGAATATTAAAAAATAAAAAATAAAAACAACAACAACACAATCAACATGTTCTGATATACTTGAAAATACAATCACAAGATTAATAATTAACTGATAACAGGTCAAAACCAGTAAAAGATCACAAAAACACAATTACCAGAATGGGCGGCTCCATGAAAACGCCTCTGCCTTCGACTGGTAGTCCCAGTTTTGGATCCAAACAGCGAGGAGAGTCCATTGGAGCCCAAAGAAGATAAACCCTTTGAGCTGTAGTACTCATCGCAAGGCTCAAAAGCCAAACAGGAGCTCATGAGGCCCTGAATGCTGGATCCACTGAAGGCAGAATTCAGGCCCTTCTGAAAATCGGCACTGAAGCTACTACATTTAGACGGCAGCCTCCTTCTTGCAGCACATTTGGGTCGTCTCTTGGAGGAGCTGAGCATGGAAGGTCTGGTGGAACAGTCCCCGTCGCACGTGACCGACATGCAAGCGGCCACGAGCCACGTGCAGAGCGGAGATGCAACAGAGGAGGCAGCCATGGACGACTCAGATGCTCAAATCCCAAAACAGCAAAAACCCAATTGGAAAGTATCGATTTGGAGCAAGTCCCAGACCCAGCAATGAGAAAAGCTTGCAAGAATGGCAATCTTGGGAAGAAGAGAAGAGGAAGAAGGCTAAAGGGTATTTGATGGAATTGATGAAAGATAGAGAAATGGTGGTGGGATTGAGGTGGTGAAGAACTCGAAGAGAATCGGTGGTAGCATTCGATTTTGTGTCACTGTGTATTTGAAACGGTTGGAGAGGAGACGCCAAGTATTGGGCAACTCTCAGTCGTCCTCAGAATAACAACGACAAAGCACTCCCTCTCTCTCTCTCTCTCTCTCTCTCTCTCTCTCTCACACTGAGTTACTGTGCTATGAGGACAGAGAGGCATTTTACATACCGTCTAGCAAAATACAAAGATCTATGACCAGAAAAATTTGTACAATTATGTATTTTATATAATCTTTTTATAATTAATTTATCTTTGATAATTAAAAAAAACCAAATATAAACTGCCAAGACAGATGAATTAATAAATAAAATACATATAATTTAATTAGTGCGACTGACTGAATGTGTTTTGATTTGTCATGGCAGCCTTGAACTTTATAAAAAAATAAAATATGGTTTTTGGGTTACACATATAGGACACTCTCTCTCTTGAAAATACATATATGCCCATGGGTTTGTATTTTTTCTTTTCTTTTCTTTTCTTTTGAGAGCAAAGGGATCAGGAATAAATGCATCCACTGTTAGACCAGAAAGTAATAAGAACTATTCAGTACTTGGGTTTGGGGGAACTCATGCCAAGTCGCATATAAATTAATTTTAAAAAAGTTATGTCTCTTCACCGCCATCACCACCGCCATCACAACCACCATCACCACCAGTCGTCCTTTGGTTTTGGATTTGATTTGGTTTTTGTTATCTATCTTTTTCTCTTTACTGTTTGTATTATGGATGATGACTTTCTTCAGCCAACATTCACACTCAACATTAGGCGTTGAACTTTGCTTCCACTCACTAATTACTATACCTACCTATCTACCTACAAGGAAATGGAATGCTCTACTTCCCAACAAAATAAATTCATTTCATTTGAAATGAGTATAACCAAATATTTACATTATTCGCTGATCACACATGTCATATTACTGAATCATGGTCGTTCAAAATATTAATGAGAAGTTTAAAATCTCATTTGTATTTATAAAATACAAACAAAAATAAAAGGACAACAGTGTACCAAAACCCACAATCCCAGTCGAATAATAAACTAGGCAACAAAAGCAAGCACCTACATACAAATTAAGAGCAAATTGAAATTGAGGTTGTTGGATACAATAAATATAAAAAGAAACAAAACCCAAGTAGGGGATTGTGCTAGCGTTTTTTTGGTCGAAGAGGAGATTGTGCGAGCTAGTCGGCCCTTATTGACATCAATATATGCATGCAATATTTATTTTCCGAGAGAAATAAGTTTCCAACTATTTTGCATGCAAAACAATTAAAAGCTAGCTTGGACAAAAAGTTTGGTTTTTCTAAAAACATGTCGTGCTGCATCACATTTGCATGCAAAGGCCAAGCCAAGCCAATGCTTGCTTGCTGATGATGATGTTCTCACGCCTCAATCTCATCGACCATATTAGCTCACGGCATTTTTCACGTGACGAAATCCGTGTTCTATTGCAATTGTCTTTTCCCAAAAGCACGAAATTTGCTTGACCCTAATGAGTTTTCAATTCAAGTTTCCATGCTATTTCTATCTTCTTTTAGCTCAATTTCCAAATTCCAATTGGTTATTAATGTTAAAAATGCTTTGTAGGGGCCTGAATACTTGGGCGGTAGATAGTGACTAATCATCCAAACTCCCATAGGCAAATCCATATCTTTGTTTTTGTTGACCTCTAATTTAATTCGTAGAGCATGTTCTATCAAAGGTCCATCTATCTAGTCATGAACACCCAAGCATCATGCTCTTGTTATTGTCTTGAAGGGCACTATTTAGATATTTCCTTCGATAATTAACATTTTATGTATAATTATTACCCTTTTTTCTTCTTTTACAATATCGATATTCTCTTTAGCGTATAAAGAGGATGATCAAACTCGAATGCAATAAGCAAGCCTACATGCCTTACCAACTAGCATAATCCACATAACTACTACTGTATTACTTAAAAGAAAGAAAGAAAGAAAAAACCCAAATGAAGGTACGGAAAGACCTCATAATAAGAGGTAGAGGAAACTCTACTAAACACAAGGAGAATTGAATGAGAAGTCAACATAGGTAAGCCAAACTCGACATCTTCCCAACCAAATTCCTCTGTTTTCCTTTTTTCATGCATATTTCAATAAAGACAAGTTTAGTTGGCAAACCCTACGCCCAAGACATAATAGAAAATTTTATTAGAGAGCGACTCACAACCACTTCTTCCTTTTCCCCAACTTCATCTCAACCATCCCTAAAGCTTTAAGATTTCTTACAAGAAAACTTAGGTTCACCACGACAAGATCGTACGAAAAATATATAATCATTTTTGTTGTCTGAATGAATTGTTCTACCGTTGCTTCTTTCATGTGGCTCACAACAAATACAACCTTGTCATGGATGGCCCTTCAGAGATAATTACTGAACGTACAATTTGGCGAAAAAAAGTGTGGAAAATATTAAAAAGTTTGACGAAGGAGTATCACGGATAACCCGAGAAAAGGCCAGTTTATATTTGCAGCACATAGATAAAGGCCAGAAACAGAGATGTTCACACAATCAGCTTAGGCCCAAAAGAGGGCAAAAGTTGAAAATATAGGAAAAAATGAAACAATTTTAATCTGTTGAACTTGAAAATATATGGAATGGAATTTCCAGATTATTACAGGAGAGAAATAGAAAAGAAAACAAAAAACAAATCTTTTCGTGAAAAGAACAGCACACAACAAACCTCAATGGGGAGAATCATAATTTTTTTTTTTACAATGGACAATTTCTATATTTGCAAATGATAAGATACAAAGTACACCAAAATCACCAACAGACACGTTGGAAGCATATCTAATGTTTGTGGGGTTGTAAAATGCACTGCTGGATTGTCAGCTGAGATAGGTGATGATAAAATGTTATCGGGGTGCATGCATGTTGTACCAGGCCTGATGTCAAATTACAGACGTCCTGCATATCCTGCATCACATGCTAGATCCAAACATAGGCAACGGCACATCTGAGTATATTATCAAACAATCAGCTTGTGTTGAGAAGAAAAATGTCCAACTACGAATATGTGAAGGGCCAGAAGAATTAAAATTCATTGCTGACTTTAATCAACTTACTTCATTCTATAGTTTCTGATGTTGGAGGGTGCTCCTCAAGTAATGTTTGAACTCTCTGTAAAATATACCAGATGTAAGTAAAGTCTGCGAGAAAGAAGAGCATACCCTACCTTTAAAACAAAAGTAGAAGTTTGGCGTTCTACCTTTACAGAACTTCCAACTTCATCAAGTTTCTGCAGTAGTGTTAGATCCCCATACCTGAGGGGCTTTGACGGGGACATCTGAAGCTGACAATAGAAAGAAAGAGAACTAATAAATATTGAACTTGTGAAAGACAATTGCCTCGCTGAATGAGATAAGGAAGGGCTTTTCCTAGCATTGTTAATGGCCTAACAGGTTATCAAGGTTTAATCAATACGCCCAGATCAAGCTTGTCAAATATAACCAAAATAAGTTCAACTTCCTTTGATAAGGACCGGAAGCATCTGGCATATGACCTTACCCTCAAATTGGGAATGTCTTCGAGCGTGGAAACTTGTCTAGAGAAAACCTCATTCGTCATGCTTGACAGGCGCATGAGGACAGCCTGAAATGGGACATCAAGGTTGATAAAGTAACTCATACTTACTAAACTTGGGGATAACTTTAACACAACTACAGTGAGTAAGTACCTTCCTGAAAGCACTGGGATTTGCAATACCATGGATTTGAACATCATCGCTTGGCGGCCTTCTGACACCAACATGCTCTATTCTAAGTGAGTAGACACCATAGAGAGACTGCAGATATCCTGAGTATAACAATAGCATTATAGGCGGTTCTAAGACATTACCAGCAAGACTAAGGTATTGGAAAATAACATTCATGTAGCAACTGATAATGCTCTTTACCTTGCTCAATTACAACATCAGCCACTGAAGGCAACAAAACATGCTTTTCTTTCTTAAGCACCCCAAAAATTGGAAATGGAACTGGCTTTGTAACCTGAGCTAAAGAAACAAAGCATCATCCAAAGGTAACCATCTGTCCATAATTTCATATAGCAAAACCAACCATAGTCCAGCAGCATTCAAAGATTGATCAATTGACAAACAATCATATTAAACAAGAACAAAGCACATTCAAGAGCTCAAATTATCAACAAGAAGAAAAAAGATTCAAACTTCAAATTTGAATTTACCTTGTAAACAATGGCATTGGGAGTGAGATAGAGCTTTCTGGACCGAATATCCTTGCGCAAAATGTATCTTCGGACTGGTAAATAAAGCAGCATGAAGAACCCAATTCCCCATGCCAATATTAAAAGCAAAGAGTAAAGAAGCCATTGTGCTGTTTGGTACTTCACATAATTCTCCTCCATCTCCTGAAACGAAGCTGCATACAGAACTATTTCATCTTCAGCTTCATTTGCAGTTTCGGATAGTAACCCTTTCTCCAAGCTATCAATCCCTACGACGTCGTCCGAACCCATCTGAATCGCTCACAGATCCAGATGCGCGCAAAAACCCTAAAGCCCGAGCTACAGCCAACCACGAAATAAAGGTAAAATTTTCCTGAAATTGAACTACACGAAGTGTAAATAATTCGATCACGTTCACATGGAAACAGTTGAAGCTTACCGGTTGATTAATGTGTTTGTTGGAGACTTCTCACAGGTTGAAGATGCAAGAGAGACGACGAGGTTCAGAAGCACCTCTTCAGCTTTTTTCAGTTTTCAGCTCAGGCGGGTCAGGCACTGCAGTTTCATTGTGGGCTGGGCCAGGGTCCAAATTTGTAATATTTAGGGTCCAGGCCCAATAGTTTCGGGTCGGGTTGGTGCTGGAATAAGAAGTGAATTCGAAGTAGGAACTTGGAGCAAGAAAGAAGCAGCAGCTCAAATGGTGGCCGCCAAGAGAAAAAACACAGAAACAGAGGAAGGTGAAATCTTCTCGTCTTGCTCTTTCTCCAGCCTCGGCCTTCACTCAAACTTATGCGAGCAGCTCGAAGGTAATACAAATTTATTTTTATTTTTATTTTTATGCCAAAACTATAATTTAATTCTCTTCCAAAATAATAAAGAAAATACCTTTTTGTTGTTTGAACGAAACAGAGAGGCTGGGGTTCAAAGCTCCAACTCTGGTGCAAGCTCAAGCCATCCCTGTAATTCTCTCCGGCCGCCATGTGCTTGTGAATGCGGCTACGGGCACAGGCAAAACGGTGGCGTATTTGGCTCCGGTTATCCACCACCTGCACTTGTACCAACCTCGAATTCAGCGCTCCGATGGCACTTTCGGTAGGTGCCATACAAACATAGCATCGATATATTTTGTGAACAAACATACAAACATGCTTGTAAGCTCGCATACTAACATTGACATATGCTTGTTTTGATTGCTAGCGTTGGTTCTTGTACCAACGCGCGAGCTGTGTTTGCAGGTTCATGAAATCCTGCACAAGTTACTGCACAGGTTTCATTGGATTGTCCCTGGTTATGTAATGGGAGGTGAAAACAGGAACAAGGAGAAGGCCAGGCTGCGCAAAGGTGCCCAAACTTTAAGTTACTGGTTTTTGTTAAAGATTTTTTTTGTATGGTCTGCTCACTACCCATCTGCTTTTTTCAGGCATATCTATTCTAGTTGCAACTCCTGGAAGACTCTTGGATCACCTGAAGAATACATCATCGTTCTTGCACACAAGTTTGCGTTGGATTATCTTTGATGAAGCAGATAGGTATGCTACACATACACCATTCGAGTTTTTATTATATACTCTGTCATGAATGTGTATATTGCTATTGTTGTATCCAATTGTCATTGTATAATTTGGACGTGCATTCATTAGATATCCATATGTTTTTTTTACAGAATTTTGGAATTGGGATTTGGAAAAGAAATAGAGGAAATACTAGATCGTTTGGGTTCAATGCAACATGGCTCTGCCACTGAGGATAGTGTTGTTTCAACTAAATATGAGTTTCAGAGGCAGAATTTGCTATTATCAGCGACCTTAAATGAAAAAGTCAATCATCTTGCGAAAATGAGTTTAGAAAAACCTGTTATGATTGGCATGCCTGAGAAAAAGACGCAGTCAATTGCATTACATGAGCATTTAGGATCTGACACAGATGATGAACCACAACCTTCAGTAAAGACAACAGGCTCTTTTAGTGAAGATTATAAACTTCCAGCTCAATTGACCCAGAGATATGTAAAAGGTATGTGCCAATAGTTTTCTTTTCTTTTTCTTTTTATTGTTGGGGGACTGGCAGGGTATGATTCATTAGACTACATAATAGATGTGGTGATTAACTGTTTTGATCAAATTTCTTTGCAGTACCATGTAATGCACGGCTAGCTGTACTTCTTTCCGTTCTAAAACATCTTTTTGAGCGAGAAACTTCCGAAAAGGTAAAGCCTACTTCGCAACCTTCCATTTTCTAATGGTTATGGAAGCTAGCTTTTTCTTTCTTTGGCAGTCTTTAGAATCTTCATATTCAAGATTATACTTTTCAATTCTGTGATATTGTGCTAGTGAGTTCATATAAAGGGATAATGTCCTTCAGCATCAATGATGTATCCTATTTACCACATCCTGAAATCCTCAAAGTGATGTCTTATATTCTTAACACAGTTTGGGTCTTTCTATGCAGTCTTTAACTTCATTTTATTATGCATTACCTTGTCAGTTCTCACTCACATGCTCATTTTACAGATTGTGCTATTCTTTTCAACATGTGATGCAGTGGATTTTCACTACTCCTTGATAAGTGAGTTCCAATTCAGACCTCACTCAGGGCTAGAAGCAGAACTTAAGCAGATGTTTGTTAGATGTAAGACCTTTCGGTTACATGGGAATATGAAGCAGGAGGATCGAAGAACTGCGTTTGAAACCTTCAAAAAAGAAAAATCGGCTCTTCTATTGTCCACAGATGTTTGTGCTAGAGGTTTGGATTTCCCGAAAGTAAAATGTATCATACAATATGATTCTCCAGGCGAGGCTACTGAATATGTTCATAGGTATTTAAACTTATCCATCTTCATTTTTCTTTTCCCATTTTATCCCCCCTCTTCGCTCCTGCATGTGCAACAATATAAGCCAGAGTTTTGATTGTTTTCAGTCCATGGATGCTCATTCAACTAAGTAACACTTTTATCCGCAGCATTACATGATTATACATCATCAAACTTTCCTCATGAGATGCATAAGAAAATAACGATATCCCAATATTTTAAATTAATCAAATATTTGAAAAGCCTTAAGAACTAATTGGTTTTAAAACAGAGTGATGTTGTTTTTTCAGTGGCTAGAATTACAAGGTTATTTATTTTGAAGTTTTGTTTCTTAGCAAGGAATTTCACTATGCTAAGTCTATTGTGCATGTTTAATGTTTTCTTGATATTTATTTCATACTTGATGTAGGGTTGGAAGAACCGCTCGGCTTGGCGAAAGAGGAGATTCCTTGTTATTTTTACAGCCAATTGAAATGGATTATTTGAAAGAGTTGGAGAAACATGGTGTTTCCCTACAAGAGTATCCCCTCCTCAAAGTATTAGATAGTTTTCCACTATTTGGTCATAAGCATGTCAGGAAGTTTCTTTCCATTGACTCACATCCTTGGGTGATGTCTTTGCAAAAGGCACTTGAAGCATTTACAGAGAAGGTACTTCTCTTCTCCTGATTCTTCTTCAGTGTGCCTTAAAGTATGCTTTGTCGTGCTGTGTTTGTACTGTGAAGAAAGCCCTCCATCCAGTTTTGGACTTTTTCTTAATCTTTAGCTATCTCGCATTATTGTGAAACCTTAGCAAATGACTTATCCAAACCAGATAAGGAAATATCCTTTGGTTTAATATGTTTGCTGGGTATGCCAGCCAGATTTATAGGTTTGAATATTTGTAATAATTATGAGTTTTTTTCTTTGTGATTAACATTAACACATTGCCTTTGTTTCTTTTCTCAGCCAGACACGAAGACACTGGCCAAAAACGCATTTTGCTCTTGGGTTCGTGCATACACTGCCCATCGTGGTGAGCTGAAAAGAATATTTATGGTGAAGAAACTTCACTTAGGACATGTTGCAAAAAGCTTTGCCTTGAAAGAACAACCTTCCTTGGTTGGTAAATCATTCCAGAATCAAGTAAAGAAGAGGAAGAGGGATGAAAAGCAAAAGGGATTATCAAGAAAGAGGAAGGTTTCCAGGAAAACATGATTGCAGACCTTGATACCAACATATATAGATGGTTGTGGGAGATGCAATCATGCAGATGGGTAAAAGCTTGTTTTGGTTGAGAAAATTTGTATGCTGTAACAAAGTTTGCATGTATTGCGGGCTTCCTTAGAATACTTGCTGTCACCTTGTTTCAGTGTGAAGTGATGTTGGTCGACCTCACTCTGTAAAGTATGGTTCATTTGCAATGCAGTTTTGCTGATGCTTGCAAATTTAAAGGGATAGTTTGCTGTTAATTTAAATTTGTTTTGACACACTTGCAGTCAATAGTCATTTGTTGTAACTTATAACTACGGAATCTCAATTCTCAACCTAGAGTTAGCAATAAGCAATCCGTGAAAACTTTCATGCAACAGGATGCCATCGTGACGAGGATTCCAAATCAATCAAGCATTGCCATGTGGGAATGTGAAGACGCATGGCAGTGTGTGATTAACTTGAATACCGCCAAAGAGACATCTTCAATGTATGTTAGTACCTCTTTGTAACCATAGCTCACCTTGTCAAAACGTAGGCCAGTCTACAATTTTGGGCCACAACCAGTGTTGTTCTCTCTGTACCACTCTGGGAGCACCATTGAGATTAATGTGATTGCTTTATCGAATTAGGAAAGTATGCATAATGTACCACTTGTTCAATGATGACCTTACCTTTCCTACAAAATAAGGAAATCGATAAAATATGGGAGGGGTATGTATTTATGATATATTATATTAGTCGACCAAATCCACCGTCCTCATCATGTCACATGCTCTCTCACAGAGGAGAAAAAACTTTCATCAATGGTTTTGTTGGCATTGGAAGGAATTGTGCAGTTCTGTCAGTTACAGTAAGTCCGGAGATTTTAATGCAGAATTGTTGTGATCTTATGTAAGATGATTTTCAATATGATGGAAAATGACGCAACATTATCCACAATCTATATAAAATAACGGCTCATTTGAGAGTGATTGTAGATAAGTCAATCACTTTTGAGGAGAAAATACCTCCCATGTACTTCTTTAAACAAGAAAAGAGTTTGGAAATATTATTTATAGTACTAAAGTACGATTATATGATATAATTTGTCTGCATTCTTTTCTGTACGTTAGAACATTAGATCGGACTTTAGTGTCAACAGAGTAAAACCTATAATAGAAGATTTAGCTACTTGATGAGGTAGTTTAAGATTAGAGTTTGATAGACCAGACACATTTGCTATTGGCAATTGGCCAAGAAAAAAAGAAGAGGAAATTATCACACTCTTAAACTCTTTTGCCAAGCCAAGCCAAAATGGACGTTCAATTTTGTGAATAATTGAACAGAGTTGAGCAAGACGTTTGCAAACAGTCAACCGTATGTTAGATAAAGGGTCAAAATCAAAGCCACATGGATTGATGGAGCTACGGAATTTGGGTGGACCCCGATCATCTCATTTCTTCCCTCAAGGCATCAGACGCGTTGACGAACGCAGGACCATAGGCCAATGATGAGGTGTCCATACCCCCACGTCAGGTGAATTTAGCATTGCTTGGTTTCGGCTTTGCGTTGGGCCCACAAACCTACCTAATTAAGGGACAAAGTAGGCCCATCTTAAATTCAGCTCAGGCCCACGACGCATCGTTTGGCCCACTTCACGTCCTTATTGTCGGATCATAAATCAAAACTCTTTGTTTTTCAACTGGGAATATTCTCTCTCCACTGTGAAAAAAGCTCCAATAATTACAGTCTCCGTAAAACTACATTCCCATTTCACAGCCTACCCCAAAAAATAATAATAATAATAATTGTAACCTTAGAGTAATTTGAAAGACTTTTTAAAAAGCATAATCAGTATGCATGGTTGGAGCATTTAACGGTTAGAAATTATATGGGCACAGAATCATTGGTGGGAAATCTTCATTTCAAGAATTAATCATGGCCATTGATGATTCAAAGTGTAGGGCATGCATAGACACAAGGTTCGGTATGACATTATAATGGTGACCTTATCTTTGGTATGTGAACGGCTACTATTCAACATTAAGTCTAAGGATGTCCTGAATTCAAATATCGTGATTGGATTGAATAAAAAGGCATCAATATTCTTAAGTACAACTACATGATTTGAACCAAAAAAAAAATCATAGTTTCATCGGTCGAGCTAGAAAAAAATCAAATTAAATGGGATGAACCCTAGAAGATGTGCACCTAACTCTATCTGTTTTTTGTTCAACAATTCACGTGATACCCAGTATGGCATGGAATTAATGTCAACTAAATTCTTGCTTGGCAACTCACATGGCATCCAGCAGGAAATGCAAGGTTCAATTGATCTACATTTAGGTGGTACATTCTGCACCAAATCGCAGATTGAATGCTTTTGGAAACACAAAACTTGTTGTTTATGGGTTGTTTGGTGTAAGTTAGAATTATACGCAAATGATTTGCCAGCCTCTCCTTTTGATGCAGAAATTTAAAGGCCTCTGTCAAAGCTTCAAATATTTGCTGGAAGATGTTTCTCTTTCAACAATTTAATTAAAAACAGAAACTTTGTCCGCACTAATAAATTTGATACGTATCTATCTAATAGTGACAAATTTATAATGTCCTGCTATATATTTTTTTGCGTCAGAAAAAGAAGGGCAATAATTCAAGTTTTACCAGAAAAAGAAACAAGGCTGGAAAAAGCTTCGCTTTCATGCAGAAAAACACACAGTAATTTTGAAAACCAGTCCCCACGTGACTGACAATAATAATTCATACTAATTTTTATATGGGGTTGTCGGCCTTGCAATAAAAATGCAAGAGCCGACATTTCTTTAATCTTTTTGGAGCTGGGTTTGATTGGAAATTACTTGAATTTGGATATGCAAATGTAGGAGACAGATCTAGAGGCAATGATATTTACAGACTCAATTCTGCATTTATATTTTTCTTGGGACACTTTGAAGGGAAGGTTTCCTCTAACAAGCATTCGTTCCGTCAATCTCGTTTCTTGCTTGCTTCTTGGGGGTTCATCAATTGCTTCCTACTCAATGTTCACTCTATCTATATTTATATTTGTAGGGTTATGGCTACCAAATATTCTCATCAGATCCAACCCCCATGTTAAGAGAGAACATGTATATATAAATGAAATAGAGAATATAGAGTGAGTTACTTATTATTATTTATTTCGATTCTTTTTTCTTTGTCATCTTGTTCTTTTTGCTTGTTGGATATATATCTTGTTTTGTTCGTACACATATACATGTCTTTTCTTTCTTTCTCGAACATAGAGTAGGGACTATTTTGATGTGTTGAGTATAACCTTAAGGACCATTAATGTCACAAAAAAACGTTAAGGACGAAAGACGATAATTTCGCAAACCTTAGGGACCATTTGTGATAAAAAGCCAGAATTCAAAAGAAAAAAAAATTAAAGGAATTTGCCAAGTGTCAAAACTCTATTTATTTTGAGGAGGAACCGGAGCCAAACTTTTTCCTAATATTAATAGAGTTCATATATGACTCATTTGTTTTGAGTGATCACTGATCACCATTTGGTTAATGAATTGTGCACCAAATCTAATAGTATACGGATCCTAGCTATATGATTTTAGTGCCCCAATAGGATGGATCGTACTTTGGAGCACATGTGGTAGTTCCTACTCTCACTCACAAATACATATTGGTTGGTCCATTAAAATGCAAATATCACGTCTCTTATCATTATGCGAACATTGGGAACAAGAGTAGTGTTTCCACCGTTGACAAGGGATTGGAAGATCTAGCTTGATGGAAAAATAAGGAGTAAAACTTATAGAAGCATGCATGCCGTGTATGTATTGTTGTTATCATGGGGATACTAATTTGGCAATTTCTAGTGGGTGAATTAAAAAAACATTTTTAATCTATATATGTAAAGTAAAATATCCTTATAGTTAAATTTTAAAACAACTCATTTAAGAATTTTTTCAAAACACAAGTATTAATTCATTGTGAAAGGACAAATACGTTTATTAAATAAATAATAATTAAAAGCTAAAAAGGAGATAAGAGTCTATGTCCAACAAGAATTCTATATAGATTATTATTGGGGCCCAAAATGTCACGAGAAGCTCAATGATATTTAAAGTTCAATATAACATATAATATTGGTCATGTGTTAATCCAAACTGTATTTTGGGAATTAATTCATTAAATAAATATAGAAATAGTGTACATGTCATTGCCAAACAAATAATACATTTTCCTATGCTAAACCACCCAACAAGTTTAAGTGGACTCAAGTCACATATATGCCTGGGACTTGTTGAGCGGATTGTGGTGTGGATGGTTACAAGTGTTCATAAAGCCCGTTGAAGGATCAGACAATGGAAGTTTTAGGGCTACTTGAAAGTACCAAAACTCATACCCACTTTCCTGAGCCTAATTACACGGGTAAGCAGAGAGAGAACTCCCAGCCTCTTCCAAAACTCAAACCCACTTTCATTACTGTGCATACAGTAATTACTGCACACTTATAGAGAAACCAACTGTTGAGCAATGTACACTCACGGATCCTTCCTTACACAATCATTCTTCAGCCTATAATTAGACCTTCATCCCTCCTTGCAATACAAACCGAAACCGGAAGAAGAATGGCAGGAGGCAAGCTCATCTGCCCACTGCCGTAAACACACAAAGTCCAAGCCTTTCTCCATCATGCTTCTTGTTGACACCGTAACTGACCAAGCAACAAGAAGCAAAGCAAAGCAAGAGGAGTCCCACATCGGAAAACTGCAAGAAGTGGAGACTCCCCTTCACCTATAAAAGGAGACTTCTCTCCTCTTAGAAGGGGGATGAAAAACTGAGCTGGGGGCTCCCTCTTCAGGACTCTCCTGTTAGTCCAACCTTCGGGTCCTGGGTCTCCAGACCCGGGGACTTGACCCCTGGGCTCCAGACTCCTAGCTTTGTACTTTAGGCCCTAGGCCTTCTTCCATTTATCTTTGGGTCTAACCCCCTTGTACAAATGCAAACAATATCATAATGAGAACATCTTCTCTGTGGACGTAGCCCATTCATTAAGGGTGAACCACATATATCTTGTCTTTTGTATATTTATAAATTGGCCAAAGCCCTCACATACCTGCTGAAGGTCCAAGCCTTCACCCATCATCCATCACACCTCATCACTAAGTTGGACTCAATAATGGCCCAACCATTTTGAGCATCAACAGAGTGAGTTACACATATAATTAATTAACAACTCAGTTGCTTATTAGGATCAAATGGATTGCTAGAACTTGGTAGGTATCAT